CAGTGTCTTATTTTACAAGAAGACTATGTCTACTGCAGAATGGTTAGCCACTCACACACAGTTAGTACATACACACTCCGCTCTGTTAGGCAAATGTATAGATGTAAAAGACTGGAGAGAAGCATTTATTTTCTTTTCAGAGAGCTTGCATGAGTAATCTATGCTCTTGCCTTTGTCACTTTTTAGGTTCAACAAAATAGACTGAATGGATATTGTAAATCATACCAGAATACTTGCTCAGTGACAACTCCAGGATAAATATCCATATTTTTATTTCGATGTGAGCAATAAAATGCTCAAATGCGACTTTGGGGATTACCTTCTGCACAGTCCATCTGCTGTTATGCTCTGTGGCTACAAAGTAGTGTCCCTAGTCTATCAAGGAAAATCTCATGGTGAGGGTACAATTCATGTAAGGTTTTTGTAAAAGGAAGTATTCAATTAATATATTACTTAGTCTATTCCCCTCTCCAGCCCTATCCCCTACCTCTTGGGATAGTAACCAAGCTACAAATTCACCCAGGAAAACTGATATGGCTCTGATGTACTCACATACATTGAAGCTCTGTAACTAAGAAACATAAAATTATCCCATACTAACACCAAGCACTGTTAAGTTTGCCTTTTTTTTTTCTCTGTTGGAAAAAAATAACAGCAGCAACACTACTGAATGAATAGGAACCCGGAGGTGTACATGATCCTCAGCTTTTTGAAAATAAAACTCATTTATATCTTTAAAACTCTAGGAGTTTGGAATTATAAGCCTTGTTGAGACGACAAACTAGAGTCTGATGCCAAAAGTCTGCCTTGCAAAATGTTAATCTTTTACTATTTCTCGAGTATATTATGCCAGGGAGAGAAAAGAACACTTCATTTGCTCTCATACTGGAAAATTATACTCTGATCATATTTAGTTTTTCTCTGTCTTCAAAATAGGGTTTATCCAGTTTTAAAGGATCTCTCCTTTAAGAGAACAAAGCTTTCTTAAATCTGAGGGTGAGCTATTTTAATAGAAATTGAGATATACATGAAACTGTAAGAAAAGTCTATCGTAATGATCTGAAATGATGCGCCAGGTTGGGAGAAGGAGGCAATTTCTTCAATGAAATGCATAATTCGGAGAGTGTAGCCCAAATGTTACAAAATATTTAGGTCCTTGGAGTGGTTTCAAATCAGTGCTGTGCATTCAGATCTTCAGTGGCATGGGAGACAACATATCAGGTCTATAAGAAGTCTTCTTATAGGAAAGTAGGATTTTGAGTACAACAGTTTAAATTATGCCTCAGAGTCTTCCTGCCTCAGGTCCTTGGTGTGTAGCTCTAGGAAACACACCATTATCATAAAACTTGTAAGGGGGTTACTACATAGTCTTTGAAAAGGGGACTTTTAACAAACCTATTTTCATGGCTGCCATTAATAGCTATCTAGCATACAGTAAGTGCTCACAAATACATTTTGAATGAATAAACAAATTATCCTCCCAGCCCTCCAAATCTCTTCTTGTTATAAATGGTTGTAGTGCTGCCAACGTGCTTGCCTCCATCAGAGGCCCAGACCTACAGCTAACTAGCCATCACTTTGGGCATGTCACTGAACCTCTCTGAGCCTCCGTTTCCTCACAGGCAATATAGTACTCACCATAGTTATGCACAGGAGAGTGAGAATAAAAAATGTATATGAAAACATTAACTTTTAGGTATGTTATTATAACATGTTATTTCACTTCTTGGTAATACTCTGATACAGCCCTTGGAACTCTGGGATCTGGTGGGGGGCTTCCTTGTTACTCTTCTGATCCATGTTTAGAAAGATCTGGACACTTCAAGTGGCCAAATGAGCTTTAAGAACCAAATGAGTTTTCCCTGATTATCTTCATTTCAGCCCTGGGCATTAAGACATGTTTGAGAATCATCAAAATAGAGCAATGCATCCTCTATAACTTCTCCAAAAGATAAAATATGTGACAGTTCTAGATTAATAACCAAGGACGTGTGCTTTTGCTCTAATACTGGGCCTAAAAGACTGGCATAGGGGAAAAGTTACTTGTATCTGATAGATCTCTCCTGGTGATCTGACATGTTTTTATTACAAGTTTGAGGAAAGCTTCAGAAACTGTCCCACCATTTTCATTCTTGCTTTGGCTGCCGGGAAACTCAGAATTATGGTTTGCTTTTAACTGAAGTAGCAACCCTTGGTCTAGATTTTTTAATGATAATATCCTGCCCTCCCCCACTTCATTGGTTGGCTCTTAATCTTTTGTTTTTATCTTAATGGTGTTTTGATTTTATTGCATGCATTTGGGTGTTTATGGTAAGCCTGGAATCTCTTTTGGATGTAAACAGGGTCAATGGTAAATGGATGAATGAGGGCCTTTACTGCTGCCCAGAGATAGCAGTGCTCCCTGTCCATGAGCATTTTCACTTTTCAGGTCTCCATGAAATTCTTTAGTTGTCTTCAAGGGGTGCCCTCCACCCCACTGACTGTCTTAAGTACTTTTTAGAGAATGTGCTCTAACTGGGAAAATATAAACAGCCAAGAGTGCAATTTAAACAGAGCATTTCAGTGTAGTCGTTGAACCAAAGTACAAGCCACATATTGCACCTAAAGCCAATGAAATTAAATCTTGCACAAGGCTGAAAATGTTAAGCAAACAGATTCAAATCCCCTAAGTGGATATTCCTGGCGACTGTAGGAGAGTATCCGCAGTAGTTCAGTACAGCTGCGTCCTGCTTTGGGCAAACCCAATGTATGAAAAGCAAATTTAGGGAACAGGCAGATTGGGGGGGTGATCATTCCCATCACAAACGGATTAATGGGAGAGTTCCTTCAAACAGCAACCATCCCAGCTTTATTAGAATTCCATTGACAGAGATTCAATTTACACAACTTTCAGAAGCACGCTTGTTTCATGAAATACAATCTACCTCAGGAGCTAGAGCTGCCTAAAAGGTTTAATTATTCTTTTCCATCCCCAGGGATCTGAACATTCTAGACATTTGCCAGTGAAGCGTCAAATGACAAGCTCCATTTTAGGGTCAAGCCATTCAGTTCCAAGATTTTTTTTTCTTCTCGAGTTAAATGCAATGTAAGAGATTTGCTAATAGAAAGTATTTGCCTCATCAGGACGCTTGGCCACCACCAGCCCTTTTGAAGGAGGAAAGAGGAAGGTCAGCGACACCCAGGCGGAACCCCTGGGAGCTGGTACCTCTGAAAGGGCAGAACGTTTCCCAAGCCATTCCACCAACCCTCACCACTCAGGGCTGTTTAGAAAGGGGTCTGCCAACCAAAGGCAGGGTGCTTTCAGGCCAGCAGAGAATAACACAGGACTCAGGTCTTTGAATTTTTCTTCTCCCACCATGAATATCTGATTAAATCCACTGCTTTCTAAAACTGCACATCCAGGGTGAGTCTTTTAATAACCTTGCTTTAGATCCCCGGTCGGAGCACATACAACAATCAACCAATGAATGCATATATAAGTGGAACAAATTGATCTCTCTCTGTCTCTCATCAAGAAATAAAAAATTTAAAAACATGGCTTTCCTTTCCAGAGCTGAAATCATTCTCTGAGTAGAATGAGTGAGGATAATGGGAGATTCTCCATGAAAGTAGCCAACTTTTAAACCCCAACTCCCTGATCGCCCACTCTTGGCCACCAAGAACCAAAAGTGAGTAAGTAAAACTCTGGGTGACAGGGGAAGCCACAGACATTTAATTTTCTCCCTCTAGGATTAAAATTTGGGCCACTCAATTCACTTGGATGTGACCTATCAAACAATCAAAGGACAGAAGCTAGAAAGGTCCACCATGATTCCAGTTAAACCTATGACAGAAGCCTGGAGTCTGCCTGACAGACTCTGTATATCTCAGGACACCTTCACACCAGGTATAGCAGCCTGGTGAGAATGGCATTAGATTAAGCGTGTCTCCCTCCTTCTCATTCCTTCCCCTCCCAATCTTGGGGATTTAATCTGTTCTACAAACACCCATAATGTGATTTAAAAAAAATAAATTATTGGTTGATTTGAGAGACAGAGAGAAAAATCAATTTGTTGTTCCACTTATTTATATATTCATTGGTTGCTTCTTGTATGTGCCCTGACCGGGGATTGAACCTGCAACCTTGGCATATGGGGACAATGTTCTAACCAACTGAGCTACACGGCCAGGGCCAGAATATGATTTTTGATAAAATGAGTTGTAGTGGCAACACTGAGAGCTGGGGAGAGCATGGAGATTAAGAGACTGGAGCGAGAGAGACTGGAGTGCTGGTCCAGGTCTACCATTAATTAGCTGCACAACCTTAGGTAAATAACTTAACCTCTCTGAACTTCCATCTTCTCCATCGAATGTGAATGATCATATATAACAAATCTGTTATATTAATTTTATAATAAAAATCAAATGATGTATGTAAAGCTTTTAGTATTACTGTTGTTGTTTTCATAAAGTCACCAGAAACTCTGAGCTGAATACAAAGGCCAGACTTGCTCTAAGGGAAATCTGGCTGCCTTCAGAGGGTTTCTGAGGCTGGAAATTGTTTTAAAAATTGGGCGACTTGTGTCATGATGGGACATATGGAACCTTCTATGCCCCAGATCTCCAACTTCTCCCTGAGTAAGGACAGAAGTCACTTTCAGAGGTCAATGGGGTAGAAGAGTATACAGCCAATCTTTTTAAAGGACTACCCCTGCCGGGGAATTGATTAGGCGATGCATTCTAATGAACTGTTGAGTGATTACAGCTCTAAGGAGGCTGGCCCTTGAACCCACTCTAGAGAGAGATGCCCCAATCTGCCAAGAGCCAGTTTTGAAGCTGACTGTACAAAAGGAAACAGAGTGTTGGCACACTTCCCAGTTTTGCTGCTGCTCTCTTTGCCCTAAAGTCTGCTTCTGGTCTTCTGAATTTAAAAGACAAAACGATTTCAGCAGCCCCCACCCAAGAGCCAAAAGACTTAACATGAGAACTGACTGCAGGAAAAGATAACGCGCTTTAATTACCTTCAGAATTATGCAGGGATTTGCTCTGGTGTACATGATAATCCCGTTGCTCTGCAGTGTTCGCAGACGCAGACCCAGCTTAAAGTCCTCTTCTTTGCTGTTTTCAGAAAGCCGGTATTTGATGTAACTGTTTCCAGCAAAGCTGAGGGAAGTGTGCCCTGAAAAGACCGTAATGAGAAGACACATATGCTTTTAACTTCCAGAAATGAGCAGGGATACCCGAAATCACCCAACAACTACCAAGGAAGGTGATTAAAGACCATGGCAAGTTAATGAAGGCATTGAGGAGAAACCATTTTTGATTAAAAACTGGTTCTCCATTTCAGGTCACACTCTAATTTCAAAGTGAAAGAAAGTATTAACTAGCCAGAGGCCAAAACATCTTAGTTGTCTAATGACAAAGGCAACTTGGTAAATTCTATAGCCAGAATTTTCTGAGTGTTGCTAAATCCCCAAATCCCACTTTCTAAAAGTGGGTGTATGAAAGGATACCCCATCATGCCAACCCTCATCACTTAGGCACTTAAGAACTTTCAATTCCATGGAACAAAGGAAAGACACAGCCATTTTCAAGGAATATCCATATTCCCCACGCATCGTAATGCCAAATAGCCAAATCATGACATCTGTACTAGTGTTAAAAAAAAGGTAACTGATACAAAGGAAGTTCATGTCATGTGCAGTCACAATTCTACCTTCTGACCATTAATTGCAAAGCTCCCCTTCCCAGAATTTTTAGCCCTACTCACATCACCCAATTCTGAGTTCACCCTCTTTTTTTTTATTGCCTCCAACTTTATGTTTTAACAAGCAAAGTAACGGTTGAAAAGCAGTCTTGCTGGGGTGAAAGGTAGCCAGTGTGGAAATATACCAAATAGACGATGATTATGGACAATCAAAAGTTTTCTATATAGAAAAGAGAAGGGAGGTGGGCAGAAGTGACATCTGAAGTCAGGCGGCCTGGCTTTACTGTTACCCTACATACCCACCTGCTATGCGCACGGCGTGTGTGCTGGGGTGGGGGAGCATAAATATCTTTCACGTCTAAGCCTTAGATGACTTCAAAAGCAAATACACCAGCCATCCCTTCACTTAATGGGCAGCTCCGTTCTTGAAGTCAACTATGAAAGAGCTTTGGCTTCCATTTTTAAGAATAGTGCTTCTCTCTGCAAAGGCTGAATTTCTAGAATCCAATGCTTAGCAAAATGCCTTGCACACACTGGTCATAGTCATTTTCTACTCCCACTATAATTACTATGAAATCATTACTCAATATAGTTCTTGGATTCCAAAATGGGTATCAGTATATCTGTATTTTAAATATATCTGCTACCAAAAAGAGGGTTCTACTGGTACCGAAAATGAACAACACTCTTTTTAGAAGAAAAAGGAGGTACAGAATACATGCATGAAATGTCCTGAGTGAAGATCAGAAACAGAGGATCATTTGGATTAAAATATTATAAATGCTAATTTCTTTCTTTCTTTTTTTAAGACACAGAGGTGAGCACATGCAGTTTGGGGAACATGCAGTTAGACATCTCCAGTGGAGAGTCTGCTTACTTGGTACCCTAGGCTCAGCTTACCCCATGGCAGGTCAACTAGACTGGCTCAGCTCTACCTTCTGTTGGTCTCTGTTTTGGGACTATCAGTTTGCGCAGCCCTCTGAACACTGAAGATCATGCCACAGATACCCAACTCCTCTGCCTAACCAATAGCCTTCTATGTTCCATAATTTCACACCCTTACCGTCCATGAGACATGACTGAAAACACACGTTGTGGTCTCCCCATTATATCAGGAATCCACAGTCACTACATGTGTTCTTCGCACAGGCTGCATTTGCAATAAATGCCAAGTACATTTGAGGGTGGATGCCAGCTATAGTCCATTCTGAAGGACAGCGTTGCACACAGACAGAAATGGCTTCTGCAAGGGCTAGGGCAGTGTAATTTACTCAAGGCCAAGTGCTTCAGGAGCATGAATTTAGACCCTCGTCATTCCAACCCACTCTGCACCTGAGCACTCTCCGAGCTTCCCTGGTGGACACTGGCAGAGGAACGGTCTCCTGCTGGCTTCATAACCGACACACTGCATGTCCCCTGGACACGGCTTCTCCACGCAAGGATCGTTGGACCCTGGGCACAGGCCTCCTGTGACAAAGGGGGAACATGCATGATCAATACAAAGGGAATCACTCTATACTCCAGGAAGCACAGGAATGGTTTAAGAGCTGGACTCTATCGGCTCTGAGCTGGGAGGCGAGAGGCACCTGGATGGGGCTTCACCTGGGTGGATGCCCACCAAACGTTCCCTGTATCTGCCAAAAGGTCACTGCTAGACTCAAGTAGGTTGGGTGCAAAGAGTAAATGTGACTCTTCCTCTGAGGCTAAAATATGCTAAGGTAGTGACTGGACCAATCACGGCTGAAAAAAAAAAATCACACTATACGAGCTCTCGAAGTATTTCTTGGAGTGGGATTTCTGCATACCAGTGGCCATTTAAATGCATCACTTGAGTTTAGATTTCTTCTATACCCCTCTTCTGCCCTGCAAAACTAGGGTAGACATCAGATGATGTCAGCTGTTGTTCTCAGAGCAGGGGGAAAAACTTTTCTAAAGAAAAGTATGACTAATTCTAAATTGTGAAAGCACAACTCACATTGTTTTCTAATCCTTTCTGCTGCATGCTATTGTATTGATTAGCTGTAAATGTGCCCTTCCGGCTATCAGAACTAGTACAATTCTCCTTGGCAGAGGAAGGCTTCCTTGCTACCTGTTCTATGTTCAGGGCACAGTGAGATGAAAGGTTAATCCGTCACAGAGGAAATCCTGGAAAGCAGATTAACTGATTAAGGCAGAATTCAGGACCCAGGTGAGTAGTTTCAGAATTGTGGCGATGGTGCCCAGCTACCGTGGCTTAGTGTTTGAGCACTGACCTATGATCTAGGAGGTCTCGGTCCGATTCCGGGTCAGGGCTCATGCCCGGGGTTGTGGGCTCGATCGCCAGTAGGGGGCATGAGGGAGCGGCTGATCAATGACTCTCATCATTGATGTGTCTATCTCTCTCTCCCTCTCCCTTCCTCTCTGTGAAATAAAGACATTTTTTTTTTTTAAAAAGAGTGCTTCCTTCAGTGGACCCATATATGTACAANGTGAAATAAAGACTTTTTTTTTTTAAAAAGAGTGCTTCCTTCAGTGGACCCATATATGTACAAATGTGGGTCCACTGAAGGAAACACTCTTTTCAAAGGCCTTGGATACTTCAAATGTAATTAGGCCACTTTCCAGCTGATGAGAGTTTAAGTGGTAAAAGTACTATTCAGAAGAGACACATTAAAAATAAGCCACAACTAGGTTAGCAGTGGCCTAGAGGAGCGCCTGTGCTCTGTGAACCGAGAGCAGGCTGGGCCTCAGCAGCTTCTTCATTCCTCAGCAGGATCTTCATTACATCAGCAGCTTCATTCCTCAGTACTCCTTCCCATCCAAACTCTTTCCTCATTGCTAAGCATATTGTCCCATTATACGACAAAACAAAAATTTAATGCTAACTACATATAAACACCTAAAAAACTGTAATCCTTGAGATGAGCAATATAAGTAGCATCAGTAAACTCAGAATTCCTAAATCCTATTTTCCACTGGTTTAGAGCTCAGCCCAAAATGATACTCTTGGCAACGGTTCAGCTTACAAAGTCTTAGAAGATAAAGGGATTTTTTTAAACTGAAAATTTAGAATGATCTCTACAAATGGTTCTAAAAAGACTTAAGTGCTGTGAAATACATCTTCCTCTTTTTGTTCCAAAAAAATCTTTATTCCTGCCACGTATTTATCAGTATTTATGAAACTTGAAAAAAGCTGTTCAGCCACCTTATGATCTGTTTCAAGAGGCTTTTGATAATCAGTTTTTACATAACTTTTGGTGCATTCATTCAACAAATACTTTTTCAGGGCCAATGAGGTGATAGAGCTGGACGTGTAAAGATGAAAGGAGCCCTGCCGGGCGTGGCTCAGCGGTTGAGCGTCGGCCTAGAATCCAGGAGATCGTGGTTCGATTCCCGGTCAGGGCACATGCCCGGGTTGCGGGCTCGATCCCCAGTCGGGGGCGTGCAGGAGGCAGCCGATCAATGCCTCTCTCATCATTGATGTTTCTCTCTCTCTCTCTCTTCCTCTCCCTTCCTCTCTCTAAAATCNNCTGCCTCTTCCTCTCCCCCCAGTAACAACACACAAACACATGATTACAACACAGTAAGGAAACTGCTTTCATAGAGATGTGTGAGTGCAATGGAAGTATCAGAGAAAGAAAGTGTGTTTCCTGGGAGAACGTCAGAGTGTCGCATAGCAAGAGAGCATTTTACACTCGGGCTTGAAGGATGAGATCCTTTGGGTAACAAGGAACTATGTTTCGTGGGAAGGAACCAGCCATAGTTAGTGCTTAACTGCATTCGTGTGGTTATGTTTATTCATGGTAAGTTCACAACTCTACCAGCTGACTCTTTGCTGTCTCCAAGCCTTTCTTTCCATTTCTGACAGTCTGCACACTTCTATGTTGCTCCTAAATGTTGACTGGTCAGTAAATGCTCAAAAAATGCAAATGGAGCCCAGTGCTAGCCTCTGCCACATGGAGGCAGCAATGTGCATAAACCAATTAAAAAATGCATCGCATGAAATAGTTGTAACTCTGATTAACTGGACATTTCCTTCCAATTAGACACAGAAATGTCATTTAGGTATTGAAGAAATCTGTTGCGTCCCATTTCATGGACACACCTCTTTCCATGTCCTATTTTAACCAGCCTAAGGATATCCTTCCCATACATTTCTACCTCTCTGAGATGCAGCTATATCTATTACATTCGCAATCTTTTCTGCTCTAACTCAATGGCTACATTGCTAAGAAACTTTGCATGATCAAAAATCCAGTTGAAAAGTCACTGTTCTGAAGGGGAGAAGAGGGCTAACTAATTTCAGACCCGTGATAGCAAAGCTGTTTTCTCCTATAGGAGTTATGGGAACTTAAAAAAAGAAAGTTATAAGTGTATATAATAAAAACTAAACACTATATTTCAGAATAAATATAGGGTGACCCCCCCAAAATGTATACACACACTTTGAATAATTTTAAATGCAGTGATTATTAAAATACATTTCGTTTTCAAAATTGAGCTATCAGCTGTTAAAGTGTGTATAATTTGGGGGGGACACCTTGTATAGCATTTGAGGACTTCTGCCTTTTATTCATGTTTTCACCTTTTCTTGGACCGTCAATCCTGCCTTGGTGATCAGCACAGGGCTTTTCACTTTGTCACTCCTATTTCTTATACGAGGTTAAAGCATAAGGCCATTTAGACCCACAACTGAAATTCTAACTCACAGCTCTTTTTCCTTATGTCATAACCATAGAACTCACATAATTAGATCCAGTAAATTAATAGATGTGTTAAAACCAGTTCCCATTATGAAAATTCTACCTGGAGGATACATAAAATATATATTAATACAAATAGAACACGTGCATTCTGAAAAGAATAATAGATATATAATGTGTATTTCTTTTTGTTCTAGCAATGAACTCTGATTGGTTATTTTTCTTTCTTTTTTTTAAATAGGTTTTTTAAGATAAAGGGGACAGTTCTTGGCAAAGGACTTGTCTTCTGATGTTTTAAAGGTCCTCTGGGGTCTCGTCCCCAGTCCTGACTGAGATGGGAGGAGCCATAAACATTTGGTCTCCAGCAGCAGCTGTCAGTTCACTCTGCTCACAGTCCACTGCCTTGTGGTTCAAGGAAGTATTAAGGCAGGTTAGAGTCTGGAGGTCCCTGTAAATGTAAGGGCCTTCTTAGCTGGGGGCATTTGTGAGCATGTGCATAAAATGTAGTCTAGGCCTTGGCCAGGTGGATCAGCTGGTTAGAGCATCATCCCGATATGCCAAGGTTGCCGGTTCGGTCCCAGTCATGGCACATACAAGAATCAACCAATGAATGAATAAATAAGTGGAACAATAAATCAATCTCTCTCTCCCTCCCCCTACCCCTATCTCCCCCCCACTTTCTCCCTCCATCTCAAATTATTAAAAAAAAAATACAGTCTATTCTGAGTAGAGAAAGATTTCTAGTTACTGAAAAACAGGTTTCGCCCTGGCCGGTGTGGCTCAGTTGGTAGGGCATCATCCCATGCCCAGAAAGGTTGTTGGTTGATTCTCGGGCAGTGCACATGCCTAGTTGCGGGCTCCGTCCCCAGGGTAAGGGGCATGCGGGAGGCAGCAGATCAATGTTACACTCTCACATTGATGTTTCTCTCCTCTCCCTTCCTCTCTCTCTAAAAATCAATAAGTTATTCTTTAAATAAACAAACAAAAACCCTAGGCTTCACAAAACTAAAAACTTCCCATATGCAGTGTTGTAATTCTTTCCTCTCTATTGACTATGATAAGAAATTAGGCTCCTTTGGGATGCTCACTCTGAACAATGTCCTGTGTCCCTTAACCTCAGATGTACCCAGGTCTGGGTCCTGGGAACAGAATGCTGGGGATAATGACCATTTTTCCAGCCAAAGGCTTAAATTCTCTAGCAACATAAAATCCAGTAGACTTTGAATGGATGCTGAGGGGTTAACTTGTTCTTAGAAATCATGTTTATGTCATCTCCTTTTCAGGAAAATATCTATGCCTACCACTGAATAGAGCCTTATAGACTCTCTCTTTGGGGAAGAAAGTGCCTGCTCAGCTTTCAAGGACCAGTAAAGAGACAACACTGTCAGCTCCTGTTGGCTTTTGGGAGGAAGTTATCTTATTACCTATCATTAAATAATCCAGGTTTAATTAACTTGTGCTGTGATTAGTGACAGCTTGGGGGGTGGGAGCTCTAGATCTACATGCTCTGCATCTCCAGGCACCCATCAATTTGGTGCCAGAATGAGCATGACGGGAGAAGGGTCCCACTTTATCAAACCAACTGACACCAGTTGTTGTATATCAGGGCAGGACAGAAGGAGCAGACATTTTTAGCAACTGTCAGAACATAAAGCAGGCAGAGAAAGCTCTGTTCCCCATTTCCAGGTCCCCTCCGGAAGGCGGGGTAGTGTAATAGAAAGTGGTGCTGCACTGACAAGCAGCAGGCCTGGATCTTGGCCCTGACTAGTTATTCAATTTTTTTAT